ATATATATATATATATATATATATATATATATATATATATATATATATATATATATATATATATATCGAGCGGTACGTCGAAGTATACCGCTTGGTACACTCGTACCGTACTGTATCGAGCTATGATCGAAACTCCGGTACGGTACGAAATTACAATCCTTTGGTGAAAGATGTTATAAACTGGTACTTATACTAGGATGATCCTTGCCATTACCAACATGTAATTACATACAGTGATAGCTTTAGCCAAAATTTAGTTCTTCCATTTGAAACACTAGTGTTGAGAATTCTAAAATTATTTGTTTACATATTTGTATGGTGACTCAGACCTCAAATGTGTACAACAAACAAATGGTGAAAGATGTTATAAGCTGATCCAGACCTCACTATGTTAACAATTATCTCTGTAGTTGTTCTTCTCCATCGCAAATGCATGCGTCTACATGCTTTAGTGGAAATTTTCTATCAACTTGCCCTCTAAAACTTAAGAATTCACTAGCCACAGTGTAATGCATAATTTTCAAGTTCATGTGCTGTTTCCTATTTTTGAACCATCGAAACATGTATGCTAATGTTGATACAGGCATTTACCATCATAATAACATGCAGGCCTGTTTAATATTGACATATGATTTCATGAGCTTTATCATCATTAGGTCAAATTGTACTAACCTCCTTTAAAATGCTAAATTTGTTCCATGAATCAGGCCTCTTTCTACATGATGCAATATACAGAACATGTTATGCAGGATCAATCTAAAATTTCTTTTTCTGTCTCGTTGCAAACACTGATGCAACTGAGCACGAGACAAGCTATCAATTTCTCCTATTGTGTTGTCCAACAATATCATGCAGATAGGTAGATGCACCATAGATGGGTGCTCAGAGGCAATTATCAGTATCGTTGTGAATAAATACACTGAATTTATACTTTCAAAGTAAACTTTAACTTTCAGGCTTTCACATCTTCATTCAGGATCATTATTCTAGTTGTCAGAATCTCCTCTGACACGTTTCCATTTAAATATATGCAGCTTGTCGGTTTCTCTTTGTTAATATAGAATTATTCGATTTCTCAGAATGCACTCTGACAAGTTTCCATTTGAATATACACAGCTTGTTGGTTTCTCTTTGTTAACATAGACTTGGTTTCTCTTCAATTTTATAGGTCTGAACTCTTCGATACCAACCTGGAGCAGTATGTGAAAACATTGATCTAGCTTGCCGAGAAAATCTGGACACGGATCAGATATAAATTTGTGGAAAGACCAGGCAAGCTTTTTATGTTAACCCATCTATCTAAATTGAACTTTTATCCTTGTTGTGTAAGGATAATGGTAACATACAAGTTTTGATGATCAAAGTTCCAAGGCATTGAGCATGACATCTGTAGATGTGTTCATGGCAATGTGTGATGGTCTCCTTTGAACAAAGCTTTCATTTGATCTGCAAATGAAAGTTTCATCTTATTTCACCTATCCCTTCATACCTTTGTGAAAGTCAAAATCCTACCTTTGGGTATCACATCCTACCCTTTTTTTTATTATTATGTAGAATATAACCATCTTTCCATAAACTTTTATTTAGAGAAATTTAAAAGTAAAAAATAATTTGATTCAAAGCGAAAACTTCAAAAAAAATTTATTTCAGAACAGAATAGAATTTTCAGAGAGTTTTACAGTGGTATGAAAATGCCGCTTAGGGCCCTCACTGGTTGTTTGAAGCTCTCCATTTGAGTTGATATCATCTGTGTTGTTCATTTTGGTCAGATTCCACTCGATGCATGTTTGATTGTCGACGGAATGACTCATCGAGCACAAGTAAAATGAGGCGGTTAAGTCACCACATTCCCCTCATTTACAATGTGTACAAAAGGGGTAACTGCAGACAAAAGATGGGTTGTTGTGTTGTGAGCCTGCCCCCAGTTTGGCTGTTGACGTCCCAATTGACATGCGCTGGAATACCTTGACGGTATGTTTTATCACCTAACATGGCACAGAGCATCTTTTATCACTTAACTTTCTTCTGCTTTTAGAAAAGTTTTACCACTTCTCCAAGTATTCAACTTGTTCTGCACTCAAGAAAGTTTCTAGTTTAGGTATACGTTTCAATTCCTTGTTCATATGACATCTTTGTAAGTGGGAACATTATTAACCTTGATAATGGGATCGATCCTTCCTTTATTGTCATCGACCCTATCATAGGTCACCCTACTCCCTTCCTTTGCTTCTGAATGGCAACGATTGTATCTGGCTTGAGCAGAGGCGAGAAGCATAATAAAGAAGGGTGGAGGCCCACCTACGAGAAAGAATACACATGGAGATAAGGGGCGCAATGAGAAAGGATAAACCTACGATGGGCAAAGGGAGTAGGCGATGTTAGCAAGAAACAGAAGAAAATGTATTTTTAAGATTATAAAAAATAGAAGTGCACAAATAAAAAACAAGAGCCTTGTTTAGGAGAAAAAAACAAAAAAGATAGATTTTTTAACTTAATTTAAAGAAATAGTTAAAGACTTACTATGTTAACAAAATCAACAAAGAATTTGTTTTACTTAGAGGAGGGATGACGTCATTATATATATATATATAATATTTATATTATTTCATATTTGCTTATTTAACATAGAAAATAATCTTAATGATCGAAAAAGAATTTCCGGATTAAGATACACCTATTAGGAAAGACATTATACTCGTATGGTAAATTACTAATTATGAATTTTAAATTTTAAAAAATAAATAAAATATCCATCAATTGCATTTCTAATCTTGTTCTGTGTCATTATTATCTTTATGAAATTTGAAAGAGTTAATTTCAGATTCATTGAATTAGACATCGGTCCTTTTCGCTAGGTTCGGAAATTTTCATAATTTTATGAATGTTCAAATGAAATATTTCGATGTAAATTACGTCGTCATGCTTCTATTTCACCATCGTCCTCACATGCATCAAAATAGTACATAATGCACTTCCCTCAAATGTGATATGATATAGTAACATAATTTGAAACTTCTGACCAACAATGCACGTTGTAGTGAGAGATATACCACATAAAACCAAAAGACATGTGATGACACCCATTCAAATATGAATTGATGACATGATTGAGTCCATCACTAATTATTGGTGTGTTTAATTTTAACCCACACTTATGCGTGGCGTTCCAGACCGGATGTGGCTCAACCAAACGGGTTCGGTCGGACCGGCCATGCGCCCGCGCCCGGTCCGAGCTAGAACTTTCAAGATCTTATTAGGAGTGGCCCACTGCTTTTGACACCTCGACAGAACAAACAGTCAGGATCAGCACCGGGATGGAGATCGTACGGCTGAGATTCCCTCACAGACCCGTCCTTCACCCCTTTCGGACACCAACCCTATAAATGACACCGTCAGCTGTTTAGGCCCCTCGTCTATTCCCCCCTTCAAATTTGGGTTGAGGCCGCGTTCTCCCGACGCTCTCAGATCCCTGACTTCGCCTTCCCTTCGAGCCCTAATCTTGATCCAAACCCTAGCTCCCGTGATCGTAGATGGGGAGGACCATGGCGTCGAAGAAGAGGAAGGCTCCGGCAGCCGTCGCAAGAGAGGAAGAGGCCAGCACCAGCGGCGGTAGCAAGTCGCCGGAGGAGCTCCAGAAGGAGTCGAACAAGGGCGCCGCCAGAGGGAAGCGGGTCAAGGCGTCGAAGCCCAAGCCGGAGCCCGAGTACTTCCCTGAGAAACGGAACATGGTTCGATTCCCCGCCCTTTTGTTTTCTCTGTTTCCCTTGACGCATTATTTCGGGATTTTGTGTCAGTTATGAAATGTTGTTGATTTGGTGTTCATTGGTGCTCGTTTTTTGAATTCTTATGACTAAACTTTGTTGATTTTGTCTCTTTTACGTTTTCTTTGTTCTGGTCAGTTCTCTTTTTGTTGGTTAGATTGATAGAAATTGTTTCAGTAATCAACGCACTCCGTCAAACTGAATATTAATTTCTTATACACTTGTTGATATTTTTCTCCTTTGTGTTTGAAAATTACGATTTAATTGTAATTTCATTTATTTCCTTTCTAGCTTATTAGTAGATCTTGTGTGACTTTAGCGTGACATTAATTGTTCTTTCTTTATTCAGGAAGATCTTTGGCAAGCGGCTTTTCCAGTTGGGACTGAGGTTTGTTTTAATTGCTTGTATTAGGAGTTTAAATATGATTTTAAGTTATGCTACAAGACTTCACTGTTCAACTCATTGGACTCATATGTTCACGAGATAAACATTGTTGCGAAAACGTACATCATTTTCTATAGTGTTTTTTGATTTAGCACTTCTGTTGTATGAGATCTTGGCTCCTGAGGTCTTGGTTATGTTTGCTCATGACAGTGGGATAACATGGATAAAATTGGTGAGATAAATTGGAGCTTTTCCAATTTAGAGGTTTGTGGTTGTCTTTTTTTATTTTCACCCATTGAAAAATAGTGAATTAATAGTGATTCGTGTATCCTTTGTGGTGCAAAGAATGCGGTTGAGGAGGGAGGTGAGCTGCACGGGAAGACAGTTTACATATTTGGCAGCACCGAAGGTAACTTGTTTGGTTTCTTTATTTGAGCATTATTAGGTTGTGTTAGGTTCTGTGTATTTTCCTTTTTCTCTCATTTGATTCATTTGAAACTCCTGCATAAATATATTGTTCCATATAGTTAAGGAAAATCCTCCCCAAAACAACAGTTTGTTCACTCAGCAAACACTGTACCCTAAATTTTCGTAATCATTTTTTGTGCCTGTAGTTTTTGCTTCTTCCATTTAACAGTTATTCATTTGCCTCCATCGTCTCATAGATGTGTATGTTATGACATATCAATCCTTTCCATTTGATTGATGTACTTGTTTTTTCTTCGGTTTTGCAGCTCAAATGTTGGCTGTAAATGGTGAAGAGAAAGTTGTGCTTATCCCAGTTGTTGTGGCTGTAAGTTGTTTCGGATAGTATTCTTGCTATCTAATGATTAATACTTTGATATCGCCTTTTCTTCCACCTTTTGTGCCACATGAATTAGTACTTGAAATACATTGCAAACGTATGCTGTGAAATGTATCTATCTATTTATCTATCTACTTAATTTTATACTACAAAGAGGTGAAAATCTGTACATCGAATATGCATACTTCCATTCCAAATTGTTTGCATCTGTTGCATGAATCCAAGTGTCTTCTCTACATAATTAATGCACTAGGACATGTTTATAGTGTCTAGGTTCATTCGGTCTTATTGCAATTTGTCTGTCATCATTGGGTCATTGCTTAATATATATTATACCTTTGGTTTAATACTTCCCTTTAAGCTTATCTTTGGCTATCCAGCAACGCCTAATGTGCTTCATATGATCCAAGTTCAAACCAAAGAGCCATTTAAGTTTAGGTTGACTGTGCATGGTTGATTCAATGTCATTGTTGATGAAAAGGGTAAATTGTAGGTGATATGAAATCTCTGTCAGAAGCTGTAATGAGTGAGATGTGGTATTTAGTCATTCCAAACAAGAGAACGAGTGAGTGAGAGCGAAGAGACTGCATAATTTTCCAATAACAAAGAATTTATATTTAAATTTTGTTTTATGGGTTCGAAGTGATGGCTTTGTTGGTTTCTTTGATTGACTTGTTTCCCTGAGAGGTCGAGGTTGTAACTCAAGAAGCATAAATAGATGCTGATGAGCATCACCACCTCTAGATATCTTATAGTTTCAAGGTAGATCAGAACTGTTTTAGTGAGTGAGAGAGAGAGAGAAGTGAAAATTTTGAATTTTTGGTCATGGGGAAAAATGGAGTAACTTGGCTTCCTTTTTTTTTGAAAAAAAAAATACTAGCTGCTGTATATGCGAATTATGTTTGTGACATGGGTTACCAATGCCTTGACGTTTTTCCAGTTAAACATGGCAATCTTTAGTGATTATCAACCTGCATCCAATTTGTTCTATAAAGAAAGCATGCACAAGTCTGTGTGATTTTTTGGATCGTGCTTACAATTAGAAAAAGAACTATGTCATGACTGCTAGAGAATGATTGCAATAATATGGGTTATGTAGGACAGTCTGAAAATGTAGGGCTCGATGGACAAAGACAAGCAATTGGGCATTATTGACTTGTTTAATATTTTTATTTATGTCAGTTGCTGTTTGTCAATTCATCACCAAATTTGGTTGAAAATTGTGGGATTAGTTGGGATTATTTCAGATCAATTGGGATCAATGATTTTTGACATGAAATTGTCCCACCATGGAAAATTGTGTTTAGAGGTTGGTTGATTTTGATCATTATCTGGATTGGGTGATCTTTGAATTGTTGCTCTACCATATATTGTTCTTTATATAATTGGTTCATGCTACTGAGCATCTCTAATGGTATCTTATGCACTGAACTTTCTTTCTGCACATTCTAAGCATTGAATCACATATGACTTTGTTTATGTCATTTATGAGATCAGCACACATTCTATTATGAGATCAGCCTTTGTTTCTGTTCATTTATGACTTTGACATTTTAAATATTCTTTATAGTTTTGATTATAAATTATGTTTGTCGGGGAAGTCATTTATTTAGTCAGTTAATTTTCTTTTATTTTCTTGTATAGGTGGTTTCTCCAATTCCACCATCTGATAAAATTGGTGTAAAATCTGTCCAAAGGGAAAAAGAAGACATAATACCCATGAAGGCAATGAAAATGGCATGGGTTCCATACATTCCACTTGAAGATCGGTATGTTTCATTTGTGTATTTGGCATTAATTATTTTTCATGTTGCTTCATATTTAGCATCTAATGTGAGTCAATATTTGAGTTTCTCTTTGGCTCTCTCTTTGCAGTCAAAGTCAAGTTGATAGGCTGAAGACTCAAATATTTACAATTGGCTGCACACAGAGAAGGTAGTTCTGCCATTTAATTTTTTTTCCGTTTAGGATTTTCATCATGCTTTCTGTAAATTGAGATGATAATCTGGAATTCATGTTTCTGCAACGTGTATGCATTGATAGACAATGCTATAACTGGTTCAAGGCTCTGCTGCCCACTTTATTGAATGGCTGGCATTGTAGTAATTTAGTAAGCACAGTAATACAAAGGTGACTTTGTTCCTTGATTAGGTAATGACATGCTGGGTATTACATCTTCAGGGTCAATCTTTTAAATTAACGTCTTCAAATATAAGCTTGGTTGACATCTATTTTTCACTATTCTCCATATAGGTTAAATTCTTATACTTGATTCTTAGGGTGCTTTTTATATGTATACATGGGGAAAATCCTGTGCAATTAAAATGCAAGCACGGATTGGGGAGGGATTTCCTTTGCTTCAGTTGCAAATGATGAATTAATGCGACAATTAAACTTGTATGTGTCGTCATGGCTATAACATTCTTTTTAAGTTTTTCGTTCATTTCTTTTTCTCAAAAGTGCTTGTACTTTTGGTGGATATGCTTTACAAAGGGTGCCGCTTACGCTTTTTAAGCATCAACTTTATAGTTATTTTATTGTGTTGTATCTATCACTTGTAACAGTCTAGGATAAAAATGAATAATGTAGTCTTTACTATCTTCCTTGACCTTAAGGATTTTATCGCATTCTACCTTAGATGATAGTATATTTGGCTCCTTAAGAAGTTTTTAAAGACGTAGACTGCAGTAATGTCCTCTCTTTTGTGAATTTGCCTTGATGTTAATGGTCTTTTGCTTTCAAACTATGGCATTATCTTGTTCTACCTGGCATTATCTTGTGTTTTTTTATTATCTTATTGGATGAGGAACTTGTTGAGGCATTTGTATATTTGGAGCAAGTGTTGCATTCTTTTTAAGATGTTTAAAATGTTAATCGTTGGCTATTTTCAACTATTTTCCACTATTTTATGTCTTTTCAATCTTGTAAATTGAAATTGTTATGATGTTGTATGTTGGACAACAAGCCCTGAGTTGGATCTTTTGGTTGTCAATACTTGGTCAGCTATAGCTGACATCTCATAACTGAAAAGGCTCCACTAACAATGTGACTTATACGACCTGTAATCAAGTTAGTGTCGATTTTAAATGTTGTACCTAAATCCTAGGCACAGCAGATTAGGCAAGAGAGGGATTGCCTAGTTGGCGATTTGAATTTCTACCTTCTTGGTGAGAGTCTATGCTCATGCAACTGCAGGCCTGTGTTCTCCTTGGAACCATCCAAGGAAAGAAGAAGAGAAAGAAAGGCATTACCATCCATATGTGAGAAAAATGAAAAAATACTTTGTTTTTGTTGTTGGAAATGAATACTGCTCTAGATTCCATTGTACATTGTATATTCTTTTGGTTTTTTCCCCCTTGTTTATTCTTTGCATCTTCATTCTCTATTTGTACAAGGACTTGCATTTTGTCTATGATCTCCATGTTTATTTTTAAAGTATTGAGAGAACGAAAATTTAGTTGAATACTCTGCATAGGGTACATCATTCAAGTTTTTTGGAAGAGGATGCATTGGAAATATAATCTATTAACTTTCAATGATGTCGATAGAAACAAAATCTTGCTGGACAGAATGTAAAAACCCTTAGTAAATTGAATATAAACTTGCCATGACTTTTTAATTAGTTAATTTAGATGTTGCCCTGGTTTTTTATCAATGGGTGTCATGTTTCGGTCCAGCCAGTTGACCTGAGCATGCTGAGACTTTCACTTCTAAAACCAGTTCCCTTTGCTAATTCACAATGGATGTTTACTTAATTTTTTGATGTCCTCTTATCTGTTGTAAATGCTCTGCTCTTATTGACAATCGTGGCGTTGTTAACAATATATATTAAGTCAGATATCATTTTGCAGATCTGCGTTAAAACTTCTAAAAATTGAGCGTGTCAAACAATATGACTATTGTCTTCCTTGTAAGTCTTGTTTCTCTTTCTCTAGCCTTTTGTTGATTGCTTTCTACTTTTAGGATTATATTGAAGTCTTGAAGTTCGTTGTTATTCAATTTATATTTGTACACTGCTATAGCTCATTTCTTAATGTTGGTTTTTAGCATTCTTCTTATAGTGACAAGTAGAAAAGTATTTTTACTCCTTATTTCTTACATTAGAAATATAATTCAAAGTATGTTTAGGCATTATTGTTATCTATCTCAAAGTCCATAAGCTGAGTCATCATAAGCACAAAACACAATAAGCAATCATTGTCAAGAATAAAAATTTCATTGTTTTCTTCAATCTATGTTAATGCTTGTTTTGTACTGCAATATAACTAAGGTAATGAAAGCTTTAAGAAAAGTAATAAAACTGCTTAGCTCTCTATAAGTTAATGGCATATAGTATTACATTTGGGAACAAGTAGAGGTAGTTTTAATTGAGGAAGAAATGAGGGATAAACCTTTTAAGGTAGTATAGGCATGTTCATGGAGATCTATTGTTGCACCGTTGAAACGAGATGAGATAATAGGATGATGTGAGGAGATCAAGAACTTAGTGGAAACAATAAAGTTAGATTTGATTAATCTTATTTTGACTATCAATGCTGTCATCAAGAGTGCTTAATGGCAATAAAAAAAAATCCATACAGACAGCCCCAGAGAACTAGAACTTTACAGTTTTTTGTGATTAACTTAATCTTATGTATGAAATTTAGTAGTTAATATCATGTTATCTTATACCTTAACTTTTCACCTTGTAAATGTATATATGATATATGTGTGTCAAACTGTCATATGTTAGCCTGGTAGTACATGTCTTCTGTCATGTTCTACTTGTGCAGTACAATAAGCTAAAACTTTTTGTGACTTGGATTTCAAGGCATCTGAACTTGTATGGATACTTTGTCTGACTTATTTGTCCTTATATTTTAAATATTATTGACATAGGCTTTCTTTTGGTTTATGATATTATTTTTGTTTTTTTGTTCAGAACATTTAGCGATAATCTTAGCTTCAAGATATCATGAACTTTATGATTTATATGAATTTCATATTCCCTATTTTTCCTAATGAGAGATTATTAGATTTTTTACTTGATCTCCAGACCTTCAGCCACTAAAAGCTGATGAAGATGAGGATGATACAGTTGTTAACATAATGTTTCCTTTAGAACCTCCGGTAAGCTATTACTAGAAATTTCTAAATTTATGTTTTTCTGTGACTGGTCACTATCAGTAAAAAGATTGCCATTAATTCTGAAAATAAAAATGTACTTTGAATAGTAGAATATGACCTTGATCTTTTGCATTTTTCATTAGTTTTTTGTAATAACATCCCTTAGTCCCACATATCTTAGATTAAGTTACTCTAGATCTTAGTCTGCAATTTGCAGACTGGATGCTGGGCACACATGCTTGCAATCTGGGGAATTGGAGGGTTGAGTGCATAAATGTGAGGAGAACATCCTGTCCCCAAGTGATAAGGGATTCACTCAGACAGGAATCAGCCATGGGCTCATAAATGTGAGGAGAACATCCTGTCCCCAAGTAAGGGATTCACTCAGACAGGACTCAGCCATGGGCTCTACACCAAAACATGAGTCGAGAGGTTGGGCCGGTTGGCCATCGTGGCCCAACGAGTTAAGGGTCCTCAACTTAAACCTGACCCAACCTGCCAATGTTTCATGGGCCCTTTAATCGAACCCAGCCCTTGGATCCAATGTCATTTTAAACATGTTGTGACCTGGTGAGATCAGGTTGATCTGATGTGTTTGAGCCAAGTTTCACAATTGTACTGCACCATGCTTTCACAAATTTAGTTGAGTGTTGTTTCTTATCTAAGAACTTTTTCCCGGTTGCTATTCTTTTATACTTGGTACAAGAAAAACAACAAGTTGTTATGTCCTAATTATTTGGGAGTAAGCTACATGCATCTTTTCCCTCCATTGATTGCCATATAGGTTGATGCTTATAGTTAAATGAAGAGCAGTCAAATACTTAAGACTTGGCATTTGTATATCATATAATATTCTTAATTTTCTTGCAGATTTGTGTTACATGTATAAAAGGAATATATTGTCTGTATGCGTGAATGCATTCACATTTATAATGTTTGCTTAGAAATCTATAAGAAGAGTATGCTTCTACTAAGGACCCATTTTTAGTACTAATGTTTTTGGTCTATGGGTTATTTTCGTGAAAGAATTTATCAGAAAAATCAATGGTTTACTTTGCATTAATGACTCCGTCAGCATCATTGTGTTTTTTTCTGTAAATTTATTTTTTCTATTTTACAGATCGTCTGTGATTTTGATTGGGAAATGGATGATCTTGAGGTACACATCTGTCTGGTCTTTCTAGTTTTCTTTGGATACTCTTGACTGCCTTGAGGCAAAGGAAATCATAATAGTTCAAAATCCAGAATTACATATTTTTCCTTTTAGTTGGTTCATATTGTGCAATTAGTATTGCATCTGCTTTCCACTTATACATCCAGTTTGCAATTTTCAGGAATTTACTGGTGAACTCATTTCAGAGGAAACATTACCCGAAGATAAGAAAGATGAGTTTAAGGTAATATATCAAGAAGCACTGTTCTTTTTTGCTCATGACCAATTGACTCAATTGCACTTTTACCACTTCCTGGGTATTTGGTTTGCCATTGTCCTGCTTGTGGGACGGTCATTAGCATATTTCATCGAGTAAAATTTTGCCTTTTTTATTCCAGGAGTTTGTGAAGGAGCAAGTTAGAGAAAGGAGGAAATTTCAGCGAGAGGTATATGATAAAAGAATGCTATATTTTCTGATTCAGTCACATGGTAATCGTTATTCTATATCCTGGGTTTATATCTGTGCAGGCAAAGGAAGCCAGGAAAAAAACTATAGAAGATATGGATCCGGAGACAAGATCTGCTTTTGATAATATGAAGTTGTATAAGTTTTACCCTGATCAAACATCAGACATACCTGACATTAGCAAAGTAAAGGTATGTCTCTACTTCAGATCTACTTGTCTAGTGCTAGTCTGCCTATGAGACTAGTTTATGTAATGATCTTGTTTTGGTTATTTCTGCTATAGAATAATATATGTATTTTTTTTTATAAATTAATCGATGCTCCGTATTGCTGAAATGATCTCTACTACGATTAAATTTGTTGTTTCTGCATAATGGACAATCTTAGCATCTTTTGTCTTTTCTGATAATTGATAGGTCGTTGACACTGGTGGTAATATGCAGGTATCATATATAAACAGGTACTATGGAAAAGCTCATTTTCTGAGGTAGATTCAGTCTTCGGTCTCTGCAATGGTGAGCTCAACTGTCAGACTTCACCAAGCAACACAAAATTGGAAGAACCTGCTTCAGACTGTCAGAGGCCTTGTTGTATATGTTATTTTGTCAAATTTTTTGCGTTTCTCATGAAAACTTAGTGTTCTAAGTGAAGATGCACTATATGTCAAGGATCTTAGTTGAGATTTTGCTTAGTTTCCATCCGTTATGTTCCGAAATCAACTTAGCATACAGTTGGTAGACAGAAAATTGTATTATTGTTGGGTAGGGAAGCCAAAAGAAACTTGTCATTCGGCAAGGGGACAAAAATGTCCCCATTTACATTCTTGTTAACAAATGCTTAATTTATTTCTACCATCTCTTAATCAAATGGCTGTTACCGATTGGTCTAGCTTGATAATTGAATCATGATAATTTCAACTGATATGGCAGAATTTGAGAATGTCTTCATTAATTATCCCTTTTACACATTATATGATTCGTTCATGTAGAATTTGGGTGGCAAGTATTTGCAGGTTGGATCTCACACTGACGTGGCCGATAAGCATCAGCCTGCTTCTAGTGGATCAGCTGAAGCCTCAAAATTTCAGATGGCATAAAAAGGTCCAAGTCTCTCAAAAGTTGCCTTAGTATATGAATACCGACTGATTCTTTCTCTTAAGTTGTGATTGATGGTTGAGAATTTTGACTGGTGTTTGTGATCCGTTCGAAGTGTAATTAATCTCCATATTCTTAGGAGGGCTTTTGTCCAATTATTGCTGTGGTGCCTCGAGTTTGGAAGTGGGTATCGACCGTCACATTGTCATGGTCCAGGCATGGAATCTAACTTTTGTCCTGCCCTATTGATGTCTTCCATTTGGTCGCATGTCATTGTCTCTGCTCGATTCTCTTCAACATTTCTTTCACGAACAAATAGATTGAACTTGTTTAAAGTCTTTTACTTTGACCTTTGTGTCGTGTTTCGGATTTGAAAACTAGTGACATATATATGATTCATTCTCGAAGGAACTACCTACCTTCTTTTTTGAATTACCTAAATCATTAATTCTCCTTTAATAAGAGGGGAAGCTTCTCGATGGGTTTTAGATACGCTCAAAGCAGGCAGGCTTAGAAGGTGACAATTGTCATAAGCCTACCGACAGATTCTAGCTTATTCTTAGGAAGTAGTTAGTTAATTTAAAGACCAGCTAACTTTATAAAATTTGCAAGTGTTGATAGGCTTGTACCGACCGCCACCCTTATTCTTTCATATATTTTTTGTCATGTCATGCGATGTGATGGGAAGAATCAGAATCCTTTTTCTTTCTCTTGTCATTCTAAAAGAAGATACCCGGTGGAAGGGGTAGATTTTTTGTTTGATTTATTGATGACAAATAAATATACACAAGGCATGCCAGAAAACTTAGATACGTTAGTATTATAGTTGGACGAAATTTTAAGCATTAACCAGATCAGATCAGAGTTATTTATTACCTTCGTAGAGTTTTGTAGCAAGCAAAATGAAATTATCTTCTACTTCAATTGATTGCTCTTTTCTTTTTTTTTGTTGTGTATTCTCCATTGACTTTTACTGTGTACACACCAAATTATGCAAACACTACAGTATACATAAGAAGGATGTCAAAGGATGCAACAGTTAGAAGCATCAGCATATGTCTCACACTGTGTTATGGAGCTGGTCGCTCTCTCTCTCTCTCTTCGTTGCGTATGGTTTACCCATCTCAACAAGAACCTTTGCCGTGTTGGCTTTATGTCCGCGTCAAACAGCCGTCCCACCTCTTCGACATTCCCCCCCTCCTTTCTCGGCTTTAAAGACGAACTCCCCCCAACCCAAAGCCTTCCTCAAGGGCCTTTCTACTCTTCACACTATGGCATCCATGAAGGGGAGGAGGAGCCGTCACCACTTGGGCACCGGCGGCAGCCACCAGCTGGTGTCGGACGACGAGTCGGGGCACGCCTCGGACTCGTCCCCCAAAGAGCAAGATCGCTTCCTGCCCGTCGCCAACGTGAGCCGCATCATGAAGCGGTCGCTGCCGGCCAACGCCAAGATATCCAAGGAGGCCAAGGAGACGGTGCAGGAGTGCGTGTCGGAGTTCATCAGTTTCATCACCGGGGAGGCCTCCGACAAGTGCCAGCGCGAGAAGCGGAAGACCATCAACGGCGACGACCTCCTATGGGCCATGACCACGCTCGGCTTCGACAGCTACGTCGGCCCCCTCAAGGCCTACCTCAACAAGTACCGAGAGACGGAGGGGGAGAAGAACCTCATGGCCCGCCACGGCGAGCCCCCCTCCAATGAGCCCGACGACGCCTCCCCCGCCATCCCTTCCTTCGCCGCGTCCGGATTCTACTCCGTCGGCGAAGCCTGGGATCAACGAAAGAAGTAGAACACACTGCTCTCTCTCTCTCTCTCCATGTGTGCTGCTCTCTGCATTCCCCAGCCGCAGAAGCTTTACTCTCGTCTTGCTTCCTTACCTTACCAATGGTAGTAGTAGTAGTATTGCTTTACTGCAGCCTCTCGCATGGAGATGCCGGTTGTGTCGCTGTACATTTACACGGTAGCGAGGCCCCCACGGGAGGGGGATTGCTACGTGGTACGCACCCCTTGTTGACGACTGGCCATATTCCACTAATCATTGGGATTCTCTTGCACCACGTGGACTTCCACCACCGGTTGATGGAAACATCGAGTGCCACACTCGAGGAAACGTCTCTTTCTGTCGGAGCCAAGTGACCACTAATCTGAAACCAACAGACATAGCCTAACATAAACAAAATCCATATCAACCTTTCTTTTCTTATTTTGATCCGTTGCATTTGGAATTCATAGATCTTTCGATGGTCGGAATTAATCGTCATCAGGCACTAATGATTCAGATGATAGCTACTACGGGGAGTAAAAGAGATGGTATGGGTTAAGTAGGCAAGTTAATTACAAATTATCCCACGTAGTTAGACGTTCTTAATATTTCGATCCCTATATTTAAAAAAATTATATTGAAATTCTTATACTTATGAAAGTGAAACGTCTAGGTCTATTTTCCTAATGTCGTCGGTTTTACCGACAGAAATACGAAAACAATAGACAAAAAAATAATTTCAATGTTCCAGTTGGTGATGACAGATGACGTCGGTGGTGGTGGACAGCGACGTTGCTAGGGGTCATGGGTGACTGTTGTGGATGAGAAGAACGATGACGAGAGATGAGAGCAACTCTGCAAGACCAATCGACAATTGGATCGGCACCGACACAAATGCAGAGCAGTGCCAATGCATATGTCGAGCGACCCTTTCATCGCTTTGCTTCTGCATCGACATCGACGCAGTTACCGAGCAACCCTTTCACCGCTCTACATTTGCGTCGGCATCGACGCAGTTACCGAGCGACGAAAGGGTCATTAATGTAGATGTCTAATGACCCTTTCGCTACTCAACAAATGTGTCGAAACCGACACAGATGCAAAGCGACAAAAACGATCGCTCATTGCGTCGGCATCAATGCAATTGTTGAGCGTGAAGGGCCACTCGGCATTTGTATCGACGTCGATGCAAATACAGAGCGACATCGCTCTGCAACTACGTCGGCGTGCATTTGCGTTAGTGCCGCCGTAGATGCAAAGCGACAAAAGAGTCGCTTGACAAGTGCATCAACGTCGACGTAGATACAGAGCGGCTCTCATCTCTCGCCGTCGCTCTCTTCATCCACAACAACCACCCGCGGCCCCTAACGATATCATCATCCGCCACCACCGACGTCGTCCACCACCAACTGAAACATTGAAATTACCTTTTTACCTATTATTTTCGTGTTTCTGTCGATAAAACCGACAACATCAAGGTAAATGGACCTAAATGTTTCACTCTCATAAATATAATAATTCAAATATAAATTTTTAAATCTAAGGATCAGAATGCTAAGAAAGTCTAATTACAAAGAGAATCTATAATTAGCCCAAAGTAGACTGGGGTAAGCTTTTCAGTCAAGAGTAGCAATACCCTGAGCCAATTAGTCCGTCCTCCTACGTTGATGATATGCATCTGAGTCACTACTCACCTCCAAAGAGCAACTCTTTCTCATGAATAGCGAGCTTAGCTCGTGTGGCTATCAGGCTCGGGTCATCATATAGTGTATTCCAACAACTGACGGTGCCATGTGGAGGGTACAGTCCACACGCCCGTCGTGTAGGACACAGTCCCCTAAATGCCTTGGCATCATCGACAAATTCCAGCCATTGATCATGATAAGAGATGACACAGCAAAGCAAAGGAAGATTAAAAGCTGAAAGAAGCCACATTCCCAGCTGCTAACAACACAACTTATAGTTAAATCACAGCTGTTCATCGTTCTCAGGCTTCTTCTGTTGCAACTTAGCTTTTATCTTCTTTGATGTCAACAACTCTACACATATAAGTGCTAATCCTCTTTCACCTTATCTACTTCAACTATAAACATTGGGTACCATTCCTACGTCTTATTTCACCTTTTACTCACTATTTATTCTTACATAAATTCCATCCTTGCAAAGAGTTTACCTGACTCTCATCTATATGTTACAATTCTCAATGTTTTCACAGACACTGTGATTTAACCTCAAAGTTCCTTCTAATTGTTCAATTCTCTTCACAAAACCTCAGTTTCAGTCCCACCTCTTGTCCTACATCACATTGAACCTGAATTATGACTTGAAATTGTCAATCCACCAGACATTGTCAATCGACATTAGTTCGAGGATAAATTTATTGGTTCCAAATATGTATCAAAACAAGAGCTTCAACATTTTCACACAAGAAGCACAGAATCAAAATATATTGCAGTATTTATATTTGCTTTACATATATAAGCACATTCAGAGATTAAGAGTCTGCTAAACTGAAACATGGATGAAACATAACCAACTAAAAGGTTTCCAGGATGCTATTTAAGCAACAGTAGTAAGTGCCAGGCAACATACCTTTTCACCCTAATCAGAAGTTTGATGAGACACTGAATTGTCTGATGAGTCATGAATACCTGACTTGACCTCAGTGTCTTTCGATGTGAACAAGTTAGGGTATGAGAAATATGGATCATCCTCCAGGGAAGGCAAGCGCTGCGGTACATGGGAAGAGAGAGGCACCTCGTGAGATGGAAGAGTTGGTGAATCTGGTTTCCACTCCTGCCCATAGGCAGCAAGGTTCTTATTACTGCCAAAAGAATACTGTTGATGGAACGTCGGTCTTGCAGAATTGTTTGCTTGCTCAGAGCCTTCCCCTTGAAGTTCTTCTCCACAACTTTCAGAAGTTCTGTTGCTCCTTTTCGTGGCAAGATCAGTAATTCTAACTTGAGCAAGGTTTGCAGCTGCTCGTGCAGCTATCGCAGCACGTTCTGCTGAATCAGCTGC